ATCTAATATTTATTCTCAATTATCTTGCAGTGTTGGATATATGAACATTTTCAATGATTAGACAATAATTTGGTCGTCGTAGACACATAACAATACAATGCCCAAGAATACATAAATGGAAACCAAACAAATTCTTAACTGAAAAAACAGTGAGAGAATTTTTAGCTTTTTTAACCACTGAAGAGGTATTTCACAGTCCAATATACATTTAATTCTTAAATAATATGGATTTATTAAATTTTTTGTTTTAAAAAAGGACAGTATATAATTCCAATATTTCTTTGTGGTTATAGATTGAAATAGTTGCAGTACTAACGCCCACAAAAGAAGAATTAGAAACAGTGTGGTACACAATACTCTCGCTGCCTTCGGATAATCAACATCATGTATTAGATTTTATTATCAATGGGGAATTCTACAATGTAGAAACAGAAATCCCACATGATACCACACATGAATATCAGATAAATGTTCCAGGTACTTTGTTTGAATTTCAAACAGGATCTTCTTCTTCTCAGTCTAGTTATGTCACTAAAGAACACATGGATGAACTTTTTAGCATCTATAAGCAGCAGTTAGTATCAGATGTGTCTACTATGTTCGATAATTTCAAAACACACATGGTTGAAGAATCTGAAAAACATGAAGCTAGATACCAAACAATCCTCGATAGCCAACAACAACTATTTCAACAACGACGACAATGGCAAATGTGATCCTATATAGATACCAGCATAGATTCAATCAAATCTTATATTCACGCACAGAACAAGAACTTTCTGGATCAATTTTCTGGTTGGAAATCCAATATGAAAGTTATTATAAACTCTCTACAACAAGATGTTCATATCCATAAGAGTTCAGTTCATGGTAATCAACCTATGCATCCTTCAAGCTCTCAACAAGTTCATTAAGTTCAAAAATTAGCCACTGACAAAGAAAATAAAAGGTAAAATAGTCAATCTTCGTCATCATCCAAAGATCCTTTAGAATATTATTCCATGGATAGATACATAACTATTACAGATTGGATACAGAAGCATCAATTTGAGGAAGAAATCCATTTCCACTTTATTCATTCACATATTACAATTCTCATTCCATCGTATTCAAATTAATTCACCTTTCGTTTTGCATTCAGCTTTGGAAAGATAGAAGTGGAAACGTGTACGGACGAGATATATTACAAGATATACAGGATACATCCAAAAATATCCATGTTGCGGTCAGTTAAATTTACGAATGATAATAATAAATACTGTCCATAGTTAACGTATCTAATTTACTCTATCTATTTCATTAGACTCTTAACACATAGTTAATATTGTTGAGAAGACTTATTCATAATGGATCCCCTGGTGTCTCTAAAGAGTATGCAATTCTAGATTTTTCATTCGAAGGTGAATGTGCTCGTCATATGATATGGCAAGACAGTGTGATATAAAGAATTTCAAGTGACAATCAGCTAAACTTTTAGGTTCTCCAACAATACGTAAGTAGTGTATTACCTGTAGGTGGCATTCCATGGATGACATGCAATTATCTACTCATACCATTTTCAACCCCGGTCAATAATTGGTATTTTTATCTCGTGGATATATGTGGGTGGAAATTTCAAATATATGATTGTAGCCACAGCATCCACCGACCAGACCAAGTAAAATTATATGTAAGATCAACATTCAAATTAGTTCAGGGGTTATTACTCTCTTCTGGGATGTTGTCTGTCAGACACGAGTTATAAAATTTTTTTAAAAAAGATATGAAGATGCACATTATGGCTTATCCGCCTTACATAAATAGTGGGTAAGTATTTATATACTAATCATCATGGTATTAAATTTATTTTTCAATTTACTTTCGTACTAACAATACTAATATAGTCTAATACTATGTTGTTTCAGGCCTAATTGTGGAGTTTTTAGGTGAAGTACATAGAATCCTTTGTTTTAGGACAACCAATTGAATCAATTTCGTCCGACAAGATGTGTGGATACAGACGAAAAATTTAGTCGATGTTGCTTTTAATGAATATTTCCTAAGTCCTAGTTAAATGTTTGTACAGTTTATACTATAACTGCCCGTGTGAGTTATGAAATTTATAATTTGTGTATCGCACCGTGCATCGCATGGGTGAAAGACTAGTTAAAAAGTTAAATTATCAATTTCTTCATTACGAACTTTTTTTTATCATTTGTCAATTTATATAAAAATAACTTATTTGTCAAACATAAACTTAGTGGGTGTTTAGTAGGGATTAAAATTAGATTTTTAGTAGATTGTAATAGAAGTTTTGAAAATGTGTGGTTGAAAAGTCGTGGGGAGTCATAAAAGATGTGGTTAATATTGATTGTTTGATTTAGATTAAAATGTGATTTTAATTCGAAACAAACATAGCGTTATGCAGTTATACTTGTTGGAGCATGGTCTTTTTGACAGAATCCATCTAAGCTAAGGTTAAAATGACATATTGAGTGCACAATGTACCCCTCTTATGTCAAGATTTGAAGGTTAAGAATATATTTGAACTTTGTTCAGAGATTGAGGACCTCGAATGCAAATTCTAATCTCCATATCCTCAAAACGTTCGAAAATTGGGCGTAAACCAGCAGCAGCCATGGAACGCTCTCTTCTCTCTCGCTTCTTTGTCCTCTCCAACACTTCTCCACTCTTCACTTCCTCAATGTACATTCACGACTCTTTTTGTGTGTAAACACTTTCACACAATTTCTTTTTGATTCTATATTTTGATGCAATTCTTTTGCTTCATGTTTTTGTAGGACAAGTGGCGTTAATTTGAGCAAGTACTTGAAAAGTACTGGTCAATTTCGGCAGCGGAATCTACAAATCGGCAGGAATTTTCGATGCCTTTGCACTGTCTCAGTCTCGGAACCTGCCTCGCCCGACATTTCCTCAAGCTCTGTAAAGTAAGTTATGCTCCTATTTGTTTTGGAACTGCTATTAGAGTTTAAATTGCTTTTTGTTTTGAGTTCTTTTAAAGTCGTTTATTGCCAAATTTCGAATATTTTGATTTATTGAAAACCAGATATTGGTTTTTATTTCGGGTTGTCACTGAACAATAGGTTAGTTTTCATTTTAATGAAATATTGGACTGTTCCAAGAGACGACTTTGGTGCATATTTTCTGATGTTTGATATGGCTATATAATGCTGGTTCTTCACTAGTAATTATTGGATTCTTCTTTAAATAAAATGACCCAAGTCAAAGTTTTTTAGCTCATCCAAACGTGCTCTTGAGCAAGGACATTTGCATGGCACATCAATACCAATTTGATTGTGATGATCCATTAATTTTCTTCTTTGTTTTACAGGAAAAGGATAGTTTCTGGTGTACAACCCACGGGATCAATTCATCTTGGAAATTATCTAGGGGCCATAAAGAATTGGATTGCATTACAGGTCAGGCTCCCTAATATGCATAATAACCAATCAAATTGTGTATAAATTTCGAAAGAAAGAAGAGAGAGTGTTGAGAGAGAGAGAACATGCATGCGATATGGGAAATTATTGTAACATCGGACCAAGAATGTGCGAATTGCTTGGTTATTGCATCAGCGAAGTTTGGGTAAGATGTGTGTTTAATTTCTCTTGCATGACTCTGGAATTATCGAGTACGATTATTGTCTTGCAGTATTTTTATTTAGTTAATGTGCTTATGGAATGCATTTTTACCAAACATGCTTCTAATTTTCTCCTCACAGAACATATACGAGACACTCTTTTTCATTGTGGATCTCCATGCGGTATGTACAATTTTATGCGAAGTTTTCAATATTGCTTCTTTTATGTCATTTCTCAAATTTGAGACTTGTGTTTATTACAATTTTATATGCTATATACTGCACTATGTTTGGTGAAATTTCCAGATGGCATTTAATCACATATTACACAGCAACACATTAGGTAGTCAGTGTTCCCATGTTAAACCGCTCTTGTCCTTAACCTTCTTGATATAAACGATTCTCACAGTAATACAGCATGTAAATGTTAAACAGGAGATTCCTAAGAAAATCAGTATAACCCAATGATAAGCCAAATTGAGAATCAACATCTTCAAAACCTAAATTTTCTCTCCGCCTTACAATTACACCAAGCAATTTGTGAATCTGAATGGTTAAAGTGGTAATTTTCGATTATTTTCTGAATGGCAGTGTGGCAAGCAACAATAAAGTCACAAGTGCGTAGCAACAATAAAGTCGTAAGAGTGGCATGTTGCACTTATTCTATGATGACATTTAAAAGTATAAAATTGTTAGAAACCAAGCAAACGAAGTAGACCTTGAAGAAATGAATACTCTGATAATTTCTACCCTCAAGTGAAATATGTTAGTAGTATATCTTCTACTTGAATGAAGGAATCAGTCTCGGTTTTAGTAATTATAGGATAATTTGAAGACATGTTCATGTTTATCATTGCCTAATTTGATTTTGTCTGTTGCAGATAACTTTGCCGTATGATACACAGCAATTATCAAAAGCCACAAGAGATACAGCAGCTCTTTATTTGGCATGTGGTGTGGACACTTCTAAGGTCTGTCCCAGCAGTACTTTTTCGTATAGCTTTTTATTCGAACATTTTATTGGCTGTTTCACCATAAGATTCATATACATGGCTGTATCTGTAATTTCTTGGACAGGCTTCAGTCTTTGTGCAGTCTCACGTCCGTGCTCATGTAGAATTGATGTGGCTGCTGAGTTCTGCAACCCCAATTGGTTGGCTCAATAGGATGATTCAGTTTAAAGAAAAATCGCGGAAGGCGGTAAGGTTTTACTGTATGCTGCTCCATTTCCATATACATCTTTGCTCAGTCTTCTTGATGTTTGGTATATAACTTTCAAAAAACCTTGCTATTCTAATTGAAAATATTACTATCAGAAGCTCAAGAGGAAAAATTACTCAAAGAAGGTACTTTGGTATTTGTATTTTCTCTGTTTCCTGTCCACTTGGCAGCTTGCATTACTTGTACTTGTTTGTTCTCAAATCATAATTTATTTTTTCTTTATTTATGGTTGTTGCTGGGTTAACTTATGGGAAATTGACAAAGGACTGTTTATGCTATACCTTGTATTAGTTTTTTATACATAAATTACATCTTACATTGGAATTTTTATTCACTTCTTAATGCTAAACGAAAAAACTTATCCTGAAACATACCTGCGTTGGACTTTTCGTGGTTGACAGTTGACAGTGGATAAGTAAAACCCCAAGTCCTCCTAGTATCTATGATGTCTATTCTGGATAAGGAAACCATATCCTGAAGTACCTTCCATTTACTTTAACATTCCTAATAATAGCATCCCAAGCCTATTGTGGGTAATTTTATATATTTCGTTTGTGTACAGGGGGATGAAAATGTCGGGGTTGCACTTCTAACCTATCCTGTGTTGATGGCTTCTGATATTCTCTTGTATCAGGTGATTCTCAATTCTTGCAGTACTACTCCAATAGGAGATACTAAAAATGCATTTTATGTAAACAATCAAGTTGACTTCGAATAGAATCGTGTTAGAACAATTTGTGAATAAAAAGAGGCAACCATTCCTTTTAGAGGAAATCATTTGTTTATTTTATGGTTATTGCCCAGATCTTCTGGCGTTCTGGCTATCCATCTAGACTATAATCGCCTGAATGCATGATTCTCATTAATTGCAGCATTCCTCTGCAGTCAGATTTTGTACCAGTTGGTGAGGATCAGAAGCAACATTTAGAGTTAACTCGAGAATTAGCTGAGCGCGTTAACTATCTGTTTGGTGGACGAAAGTGGAAAAAATTAGGAGGGTAAGCGAACTATTAATGCAAAAATTTTGTTGGGATGTAAAGATACACTCTCTTGAGTTGAAAGTTTACTTTCCAACCAGATTTGTTCTTCTATGGTATTTTTTCCTGGCACTAAGAACTAAATAGTTTGTTTATATCGCAGACGAGGTGGTGCAATTTTTAAGGTCAGATTTGTATATTGATACTTGGTTGATATGATCCACTTCTGCTTATAAAATGCTGATAAGTTGGAGTAACCTTTACCCTCTGGTTCCATTGACATAGGTTCCTGAACCTCTTATCCCACCTGCTGGAGCTCGTGTGATGTCCCTCACTGATGGTCTTTCCAAGGTTTTGAATTTTTGTTGGATCTTTATGACTTGCAACTAAAGCTTTTCAAACATGGTTTCTATATTACATATTAATATGACTATTTCTCTCTGAGAAGGTAGTTTTACTTTTTCTCTTAAAGTGAAATCCTCTTCATTTTCTGATAATGGCATGTTGTATTGCAGTTAAGTGATGGAGGTTTCTCAATTAACTCTGTCATATTCGGGATGTTAGAATGTAACTGCAATATTAATCTTTGTTTGTAGATGTCGAAATCAGCACCTTCTGACCAATCACGAATCAACTTGCTTGATCCCAAAGACGTGAGTAAAATTAGATCATCCTCTTCATCTGCTCACGTTTAGTTCGTTTTAATATCTATGTAGCATTCAAACTTTTTATGTTCTGAATATAGTAAGTGTGAAATGAGTGGGAAGCTACACAATAAAATTGACAGGACTGGAGCTAAGATTTTCTTGACAAGAGAAAAGAAAATCATGTTGTTCGATTGGTTAGAGATTTTGTTCCATGTTAGGTTAATTGGGATGAATTGAGTGTTGGGGTTTTGAAGACACTTAAACAAGTAAATGATTAAATAAATGAATGCATTGGAAAGACTATTGCCAACACTATAGAAACCCATGCCATATTTCCTCTCGTGATATGTCTTGCTACACATTGCTTTCTTCTACTGTCCCAGTCATATGATCGCATTTTCCAACTGCAATGCAATATTGCTGCAGAGATGGAATTATATGACCAAAAGTCCTATGAAGAATTGGTAGCTGACACTTGATGTGTACCCTCTCTTTGCAGAAGTATCTTTAATAGACTGTGTGGCATCCATGCAGAGATTGAACTGTATCCATTTTTCAGATTTCAGCTTTGTTTTTTTCCATCTTTTGATAAGTGGCCATGTTTCATATTCCTATTGAAGAGTCTGGAATTTATTTCTCACTTATTAATTACTACAATATTATATCGTTTGCTTTTTCTTTGATTTTGTGCTCTGAGGATCTCGTTCTCACAAGAAATTTATTTATTTAAGAGAAACTAATTTTGCAAAAGCACCTGAAGTCATTAAAAAATGGAGTGCATGTCTATATTTTAGGAGAGTTTGATATGCTTTCATGATTTTTGGCAACAATCTGTTGTGAAAATGGAAGAAAAAAATGTTAGAATTCTAGAAGAGTTATATATGACTTCCTCTATAGAGACACCTGCTCATTTTACAGAGAAAAAGAGGTTTCTATTAGGGCTGTCCGTGGGTCGGTTCGGTTCGGTTCTGAAGATACCCGAACCGACCCAAAACTTTCGGGTATTTAATAAATGGACCCGTCGGGTCCAAATATAATTATGGAACCGTTCGGGTTCGG